AATCCACAGTTGTCTTTCCTCAGCCACCCTATCACCACCTCCAAGTCCCCTTCAACTATGAGTTTTCTGACATCCATCTCCTTAGCTTTCTGAACTCCTTCCATAACTGCCAAGATCTCAGCTCTAAGAGAATCCCCCACTCCAATTGGACYTGAGAACATGGCTGAAATAACCCCGTTCTCATCCCTAAAAACACCCCCAATCCCTAAATGTCCAGGATTCCCCCTACAACTCCGATCAAAGTTCAATTTTAGGAATCCAGCAGGTGGGGGTGTCCAAGACACCTTCACAACTGATTTGGACTTCACATAGCTTGCAATCTCACCCCACTTCCTCAACATATCATCCACTGTGTAGTCTGTGAATAGTTCTAGAGATTTCAGCCACTGTACAGCCCTCAATTCTTCAGTCCCTCTCTCTTCATCTAAGAAGATTCTAAGATTTCTTTCCTCCCATAACGACCAGAAAAATGCAGACCTCAGTCCTCTCCACATGGTCCTTCCCCTTTTCACGCACCACCTGAACAAAGGAGAAAAAAGGCTCTACAGATCTGAAGGAGGGTTCCACCTGCGCCCAAAGAGAGAAAAAGCCCATTCCCAAATTGACTTTGCAAATTGGCATGACACCAGTAAGTGAAAACTAGTCTCCCCATCTGCTTTGCATAGAACACACCAATGAGGGGATAAGCATGTATTGGGTCCTCTTCTTTTGAAGCAAACCACTAGTATTGAATCTTCCCAGATAGGCTTCCCAACAAAAACTACCAACCCTAGGAAGAAATGGTCTGCACCAAACCTCATTAACCGGGAAAGGGGAGGTTGCAGGACTTGTGGACTGACATAAGACTTTAAAAAAAGAAGCACAGAAAAAAGAGCCTCTCTAGTTTAACAATCTCTAAGAGCGGTATGCTCTGAGACACAATTTTCTCCAAAGAGGGCCCCTCTAGTTTCCCCTCAATGAGCTTAAATAGGGAGTGGGGTAGTTATGCAACTATCCCCTCCCCCTAGTTGCTAATGGAGAATGAAAGAAATGGTTGGGAGAAAAAGTTGATTATCAAGTCTGGAAAGGAGGTGAACAATTGGGGATTAATCTTGAAAGCGATTATGTCCAAGCTAGAATTTAGTACCAGGGTTTCAAACTTTCAATCTTCCCTTTTGATAACAGGAGTGTCATTTTGGACATAGGAGATAAAGTCCTAGATTTTAGAACCATGGAAACTAGTTTGGGGGAAGTTATAATTGAGAACTGTTCTTCATCCTACAACAAAAAGGGGTTGGACGTTGGTGCCTTTGTGATTGAATTGGTTGGACCCCGTTTTAATGTTTGGAAGAAATATTCTTCCCAAATGATCGCAAGAGTATCAGGTGGCATTCTTATAGTGACTGATTTTTTTTTATCAGCAACTCAAAATTTAGTAATTGATTAAATTAAAAAAGCATATACAACAAGAAGTAGTGGGCAGAAGGAGATGCCCGAAAGAAAAAACCACTAATTAAAAACCAGCCCAGAATATTGATTGTCTTTGAATCCCTTGTTTAGCTAGTCCATCAGCCATACTGTTAGCTGATCTCCTAACCCATCTAATTAGTATCAAAATGTCTTTGGGTATCTGTTTGAAGTGCCTGAGTTCATTTCTTAGTTTCCATATTACTCCTTCCCCCATTTTCAGCCAGTTTACAACAATCTTTGAGTCCCCTTCAATAATCAGCCTGTTAATCCCATTTCTTTGAATTTTTCAACACCATACACTGCTGCCATCAGTTATGATCTCACCGCATCACCATGCTGAATAGGACCGGAATACATGGCTAAAATATTCCCATTCTCTTCCCTTATCACCCCACCAACACCCGATGGGCCAGGATTTCCCATACAGCTACCATCAAAGTTTAATTTCCTCCATCCAGCCGCAGGAGGGGACCAGACCACATTTGTTTTAGATTTTCTAGAAACAGTGTTAGCAATTATTCCCCAAGATCTGAAAAAATCTTCTGATATTATTAATAATCTTCGAGCTGCAAAGGTTAAAATCACAGGCATGAAGCCTGATGAAGTACTTCAATCAGTGGAAGTTCTATCTAATGGGTTTTGGACTAAAGTCTGTAGAGATGAAATACTTCAATCTTCGAGCTGCAAACGTTCGTAGCCAGTGGAAGTTCTATCTTAGTTTCCATATTATTAGTGCTTCTTAGTTGTTTTATTTGATAATGGACCTTCTCTTTATGGGCCTATTAATATTTTTTTTATGTTTTTTAAGTATGTTGATGAGTCGGCCGCCCACTAGAGCAGCAGTTGTGTGGACCTTGTGGGAAGAGAGAAATGCCAGAATCTTCCAAGAGAAAGAAAGGAGCAAACGACAAATTATGGAGTGTGTAATGACTAGGGTTATACACTGGCTACGAACGTTGGAACTATTCAAAAATTTCACATTTTATGATATTTGGAGGAATTGGCCTTTAGTGGCTTCTAGCTCAGTGCAGAAGGATAAGGCAAGGTTGGCTTCAACACCTCCCATTGAAGGATTTCTGAAACTAAACTTCGATGGGAGTAGCCAAGGCAACCCAGGCCCAGCTGGAATTGGAGGGGTCATCAGAGACAAGGAAGGAAATTTAAGAACACTCTTCTCAGGACCAGTGGGGAATGGAGACTCCTTAAAGGCAGAATTGTATGCAGCCCTACAAGGCGTACAGATTGCAAGAGAGTTAGGATTGGAAATTTTGGTGATAGAAGGAAACTCCAAGGTGGTGGTGGGTTGGCTAAAAAAACCCAGATTCAGTGGTTTGGGCTTACAGAAATGAAATGAAGAAATTCAAATGGATAACTCAGCAGATGGATGTAACTATACAATGGGTGGGGAAGGAGGCAAATGCTTTTGCTGATTCTCTAACTAAACAAGGAGTAACTAAGATCAATTGTACTGGGCCCACTTGTAACTTTATGATGTTTCTGTATTAATCAGTGAGGCTGCACCTCGCACCTCATATTGGGATGCTTGTAATGGACTATTTATCATTTGCTTTTAATGAAATCAATTGAATTTTTATCTATCAAAAAAAATAGTCAAGGTTGCATAAATAAGCACAAAAGGAATTAAAAGGAAAAGCATTAAGGTGGCATCTGACAACAGCTGAACTAAGAACTTGAAGATAGCAGTTGACTTTCTGGTAAAGTGAAAGTCTCTGGCTGGTTTTAGCAGAAACCTGGGATCAAATTCCACTTTCATCAGGATTGGGGAGATTGAGAGTTTAGGGGAGGGCTACCCCCATTGTGTAGTGCATTCCCCTAGGGAGAAACTGAACTAGGGACTGAATGATAAATGCTGAAAAGGTTTCAATTCAAAAATCCCCTCATATTCAGGGTATGTGGTACATAATAAAAATTTTAGGGCTAAAATAGTTACCCTAGTATTGGAATCTTTTCAGCATTAAGCATTAAAGAGGAGAAAGTTACTAAATGATGTAAACCCCTTTTCGAACCGGAACACTTCACTCAGAGCCCAGCAGAGATGTTATCAAATACTAGGGTGGCAATTTTCAACCCAACCCACTAACCCACCCAAACCAACCATTAATTGACGGGTTGGGTTGTATCCATTTAATCCTGGGTCATTGGAGGATTGGGTTACCCAATAAAGGAAAATTTAATGGTTTGGGTAGGTTTGGTCATGGTTATCCAATGGGTGACCCATTAGCCTCTTGATTTAGTTCAGCACTGATAAGGAAGATCTTCAAACTTTTGCTGGAGCTTAGGCTAAGTAGCCATGAATCTCAATCTCAACTACCCAAAGAAATCAAAGTTATGATCAAAGAAGCCCAAGGTCTCTCCCCTGAATATCCATTACCAGAGAAGGTCTGCTTGAAGCTGCAGAAAAGTCTCTCAATTAAGCACTGTCACTCTTTTGTCAGATTCTAGTAAGCTTCAAATATGGAAGCTAAGCTACTATCTATGGAATGCCTGGTTGGACCTCTCAAATGCTGTTGGAATACGATCTTCAGCAAACCAAGTGAAGGTCAGCAAAGACCTGGTGAAGCTCTGCCAGATCTCAACTGATTTGCTATTTCCATCAGATCTCAACTTATTCAAATCAACCACTTTCTTATACAAAGCAGGCTTGATCAGGCATGATTTCAATAAATACAATCTTGCTGTGATTGCTTCAAGAAAGCCATCAATCTAGTAGCCAAGGTCAAGATAAATGAAATTTTTGACAGTGGAGAACGAAAGCTTTTCTTAGATCTGAATAAAGCAAAATCACGCTCTCCTTGGGAAGTCTCAGATCAAAACCTCTCTCTTTCCAAAGCTTGTTGAGTGGGTGGACAGTCTATGCATTTCTTTTCTGCAACTTATGTTAGTTTTTTTCCTTTACTATGCTTTTTATAATTTCTATATTTTTTTCTGCAATTTCTATTACGTTTTCCATCTTCCATGTTTTTTTTGTTAGCTTTTTCTACAATTTCTGTGTTTTCTTTCTGTAATTTCTGCTATTTATCTTCATTTTCTGTGTTTTCATAATTTCTGTTATATTTTCCTGCAAATTTTTCCTATATTTTATTATTTTTTGTTAATTTTTATGTTATGTTTTTTCTATAATTTGTGTTAGCTTTTTGCATTCTGTGTTTTTTATGATTTCTCTTTTTTGTATTATTTGTATTATTATATAATTTCTGTATTTTTTGTGTTTTAATGAATTAAAAAAAAATTAATAGGTTGGGGTGGGTAGGGTTTGGGTTGAAACCAACCCATTTAATTTGCACTAGACTGGTCATTAATGGGTTTGCGGGTTATATGGGTTGGGTTGAAGCTCAACCCAAACCCAACCTGCCTAATTGCTACCCCTATCAAATACCACCTAAGTGGGACTGCAGTTTTGAAGACATGCAGCTAGGAGTCAGAAACAGATTTGCATCGCATATTTTCAATAATGGGAGCTAAAATCTTTTCCAAAGCAGCCCTGTAATGCAATCTATGTGTTAGTAGATAGGTCAACAGATGATACGTACAATCTTACATGATAGAAAGTCACAGGCACTGTTATCAGGAACAAGAACCAGTGCCACGTCAGGAGGAAAAGTGTACATAGCGCTCCTTGCATCACAAATTCTGGGATAACCACTAAATTAATCCGAGATGATGTATCATAAGGGTTCAAGGCATCAAATTCCAAATCTGACAAGCAAATAAGCTGCAGAAAAAGTTGCACAATTTCTAAAACCAGTCAATTGGAGGAGCAACAATGTGAACTTGCCTATTTGCAAAAATTAAAAATAGTTAAAGAACTTTCTTTAACAATGTTCAGAAAGTTCAAAGATGAACTAGGGAACAGAAAAATCAAATGACAAGATCTTTTTCTTCCAAGAAACCCCTACCAAGTATGATTACAATTTGGTTCCATTCTCAGATGGTTAGTATAAGAATTAAAGATTATGCAACATATAGGAAGCAAAAAGAGATCAAGTTTCTCAGCATATGAACTCCAGAGAAGAGTAAGCAAGGTTAAATGCTGATAGCAACTAAACCATACTGCTTATGAAAGTATAAAGTATAAAAGTTGAAAAGACTAAATGTACAATAGAAACTATCAAACTAAGGAACCTAACTACAATATAATACCCACTGTAGTTACACATAAATGAGACAAATATTTACTTTCAAATATCATTGTTCTAAAATTAACCTTGTAATTAAAATTAAAACCTTCGCCTTACTGTAGATATTTTTAATCAACACCTGCAATAGATGTTAGGAAAGAGATCTAATTACAAATGATATTAAGAATAAAAGGTAGAAATGTACATATAACACCCACTGTAGGAACCGTATTCCACATTCTCTTGCTGCCACTCTCATGCACTGGAACTCTTAACTCCTATCCTCTCAATTATGCCTTTCCCATCCATATAGACTCTTTCATACACATAATAGCATAGTTAACTAAATTTAGATAAAATTATTTAATAAATAGCAAATAGATTTGATAAATAAAGTCTTCACGTTATATATTACTGATTTAAATTTAAAAGTATTATAACAAATAAATCTTCTTTTTTTATCATTACAAATAAATCTTCTTATAAATAACATTATAACAATGCATTAACAATCTACTTCAGAAACTTTCCAGTTTTTATTTACTTATATTTTTACAGGTAGTAGTTATTTACTTATATACCACCAAATAATTGAATGAAGAAGTTACATTGTATTTAATGGAAGATGTGAAGCTCTAAACCAATAAAAAGTCTGCTTGCATGTACTAAGAGGAAAAAGAAACTTTGTTCCTTTCACTGATAATGGGAAATTAAATTACAACACAAAAATGGGGGCAGAATATGCAAGATCCTCAAGGTGAAACAATGACAAGCCCAAAATGGAAAGAGAAAATATAATAAAAGACAAAGTCAGAGCACTATAGTCCAAAAAGGACCAATACAAGATCTGATAAGATGTCAAAATGATCCTAGCAACTGTATGTGCTAGCTTTTTTTTCATTTGACTCTCTAACATTGTACTCTGTTGTCCTGTCTGTCTTTAATAAAATCAGGCCATTCTGATCCACCAAAAATGCCCTTCCCAGTCATCAGAGACCAAGAAATGGTCTAGCTTACAACAAGCAAAACTAGAACCGTTTGAAATTGTTGATAAGAAACTAACAAGAATGCATTAACAAATGTTGAATTTCCCATGCTGGTAACTGCCCTCTTTCCCTTATCTTTTGATGAGAGAATTTGATGATACTAGATGTCTAGAACTGCCTCCCACACACCATGGCCTCCCCCAAGTACCTTGGATCTCCTCCTATAACTCTTTTCTCTAGGATAGGATCAAAAATGTTGGTAAGACCCAATCATTGATGGAAGTATTACAATTTCTCATGTTTTCCACCACTTCAGTGTTTCAAATCATGATTACACACACCAGAGACACCATAAGCTGGGAAGAAAGGAACATCTCCTATTCATAAGTCATAACACAAACCCATCAAAGAACGTCATACATGCTGTGGAATGTGGGCCATAAGTAAAATGTTCTTTCTTGGTATATAATGCTTAATGGGACTGGGGGAGTTGGTGTTAGGTAACTGCCTAACTCAGGGCTTTTCGAGGAAGCCTGCCTCCTGAAACGAGAGAGAAAAGAGAGGGGAAGAGAGAGAGAGAGAGACTGAATTCCCAGAATCAATGCTGACTCTTCTGGACTTCCTTTCCTTATTTATAACACTCAGTTACAATTCTGTTATATCAGCCTCTCCACTTGTCCAGTTTGTTATGTAGTTTGTTCGAGTGGTTGGCTTTCAGTTACATTACTTAAAGGCTGGCATGGCCTTTTCTTGTACACTTGTCCCTCTGTTCCACTTATTTGTGTCTTAACAGTCCCTCCTCCCTTGAAAGAGACCTTGCCCTCAAGGTCAAGATGTGGGAATCTATTCTGTAAGTCCAAGTAAGGTTCCCAAGTTGCATCTTCAAGTGGGAGACCTGACCATACCACCAATGCCTCTGGTTCAATGTGATGCCCTTTGCGTATCCACCTGAAATCTGTTATCTAAGTAGGCTCAGTTTGAACTTGGCCATCTTCCGAGAATGATGGGAGGGTTGTTGTTATTGCTCCAGTTTTGGCCATTTCTTTAATAGAGATACATGAAATACGGGGTGCAATTTTGACGTCGCTGGAAGGTCAAGTTTGTATGCCACGGACCCAATGTGTTCCACAATCCGAAATGGGCCGAAGTACCTTGGGCTCAGTTTGTTCCACCTGCAGTCTGCTACTGAAACTTGCTTGTATGGTTGTAGTTTAAGGAAGACTTGATCCCCAACTTGGTACTGGACGGGCCTATGCTTTCTGTTGTAAGAGTCTGTCATCCATTGTTGGGCTCAACGGAGGTGGGATTTGAGCTCTTGTAACACCATATCCCGCTGGAGGAGTTGGTCTTCCACTGCTGCTACTTCTGTAGACCCTTTCTCATATGGGAGTAGGGTAGGTGGGTCCCGTCCATATAGAGCCCTGAATGGAGTCATTCCTGCTGCATTGCGATACATGGTATTGTACCACCATTCCACCCAATGGAGACACTTGAGCCACTGACGTGGCCTATCCCCTGCATAGCACCTTAGATAGGTTTCCAAACTCCGGTTGATGACCTCAGTTTGCCCATCTGTTTGAGGATGGTAGCTGGTAGACTTGAAGAGTTTCACTCCCTGTAACCGGAAAAGTTCTGCCCAGAAACGAGTCATGAAAATTGGGTCACGGTCTGAGACAATGGAGTTAGGGGTACCATGCAGTTGTGCCACCTCCTTAGTAAAAATATCAGCCACCATTGGAGCTGTAAAGGGGTGAGAGAGAGGGAGAAAGTGGCAGTATTTGGTGAACCTATCAACAACTACGAGAATGACGGACTTGCCATAGGAAAGGGGGAGCCCCATTATGAAGTCCATGGATATATCAGCCCACACTTGTGTACGAATTGGAAGTGGTTGTAGCAGATCTGCTGGACACTGGTATCAGCCTTATTTTTATGGCAAATGATGCATTTCGGCTATGAATTTTTGGACCAAATTCCGCATGCCTTTCCAATGGAATTGGGTGGCTAGTCTCTTGTAAGTGCGCAAAATTCCCGAGTGTCCTCCTGCTGGTGATGAGTGGAACAATTCAAGAAGCTGCTGAATATGGGCCGAATCCTGTGGTATCACCAAACGACGTTTATACAACAGCAAGTTATTCTCCACCATGTACCTTGGGTGGCTGGTAGGGTCCTCTTGGACCTGTGAACGCAGCTTGCTCAGTTGTAGGTGTCTTTTGGCTTCCTCCCTTAACTGATTCATGAAGGAACGTGTTGGGCCCTTGAGAAGTAATGGAAACAGTTGTGGCTGGCGTGACAGTGCATCTGCCACTTTGTTAGTGTGCCCTGCCTTGTATTCAATGACATAATCGTAGCCGAGTAATTTGGCTATCCATCGCTGCTGTTCCAGGGATAATACTGACTGCTCCAACAGAAATTTCAGGCTATGGTGGTCAGTTCATATGATGAACCTCCTCCCTAGAAGGTAGGGTCGCCAGCACTGAACTGTGAGAACAATTGCTATCAATTCTCGTTCGTATACTAACTTGGCCTATTTTTGTGTTGTCAATGCTTTGCTGAAAAATGCTAGTGACCTTCCTTCTTGCATGAGAACCGCACCCACTCCCTAGCTTGACGCAACACATTCAATGATGAAGTCCTTTGATAAATCTGGAAGTGCGAGCATCAGTGGGGACGGGACAGTTGTTTTGAGCATCTCGAAGGCCTGTTGGGCCTCCCTAGTCCAGCAGAATCCATTCCTCCTAAGTAAACTTGTCAAGGGGGCAGCAATCAGTCCATACCCTCTGATGAATCGCCGATAGTACCCTGTTAGACCCAAGAAGGCCCGTAACTCCTTAACATTTTGAGGCTGGGGCCAATTTATCATGCTTGAGATCTTTTCCGGGTCTGCCGCTACAGTGCCGTTTTTGACTACGTGCCCCAAGTAGTGTACTTGAGTCTATCCAAATGCGCACTTTGACTCCTTTGCAAAGAGTTTATGAGTCCTTAGTAGTTCCAAAGTGATTTGTAGATGCACTAGGTGAAAGAATGGTAGGATCCATCTAATGGACGCCATAAAGGTTGCGGAATGGGTGGGGCGAATTTCAAAAATTTCCTACCTTCTCCCAACTGGGAATCATATTCCCTGAAT